CTCATCCCATTTCTGCAGGTGCCCCCTAACATCCTCATCCCATTTCTACAGGTGCCCCCTAATATTCTCATCCCATTTCTGCAGTGCCCCCTAATATCCTCATCCCATTTCTGCAGGTGCCCCCTAACATTCTCATCCCATTTCTGCAGGCACCCCCAACATCCTCATCCCTCAACACCTATTTCAAAGGACATCTCTTCTCTAAAGCCTTTCTTGACGTTCCTGCTCAGAACTCACATCTCACTCCCTCCAACACTCAGACAGACACCTCAGTACCTTGCCTACTTCATCTCTCTCTCCCCTCCACCCAGATCTCAGGCTGCTTGAGGGCATGATGAGGCTTTCTCTATAGTGCAGTGCCTGGACCATAACTAGCAAGTACTCGGTCACAGTAAAAAAAAAACCAAACCAAACCAAACCAAACCAAACCAAACCAAACCAACAATAACAACAACGGGGGATTGGGCAAATAAACAGGATGATTTGTCATCGTCTAGAATAATGGTTGGCACGTTTTTCAGAAATGGGATCATTTTATAGATGATATTTTCTAAGGACCTCAAAGTAGGAAACAAACCAAAAGAAGACCTGCCCTAGATGCAATGGTGACAGAATCCTTCCTTCCTGTGGGTGGTTATGGAGGAAACTTGGTGAGGCCTCTGAGAACCATCCGGAAAGTTGCCAGGGTCCTTTTATTTTTATAAAGATGGTCTACCTTATTATTTGTCCGAAGTCACTAGGAAGGTAGTAGCAGAAGGTAGCTGGACTCTGGTCCTTACATTTCTAGACCTAAATTCATTGGTGTGTTTTCCGTGAGCAAAATGAATGGGAATGAAGGTGTGAGTTAATTCACTCCTGAGTGAATGCTCTGAGAGATCAAGGTAATATAGACATAGTCATTGCTGATATACTATGGACACGGTCATTGATGACACACTGTGCACACGGCCATTGATGGCACACTATGCACACAGACATTGATGACACACTGTGCACACAGCCATTGATGACACACTATGCACACAGCCATTGATGACACACTGTGCACACGGCCATTGATGACACACTATGCACACAGCCATTGATGACACACTGTGCACACGGCCATTGATGACACACTATGCACACAGACATTGATGACACACTATGGTCACAACCGTTGATGACACACTATGCACACAGACATTGATGACACACTATGCACACGACCATTGATGACACACTATGCACACAGTCATTGATGACACACTATGCACATGTCCATTGATGATACACTATGGTCACAACCATTGATGACACACTATGCACACAGCCATTGATGACACACTATGCACAGAACCATTGATGACACACTATGCACATGTCCATTGATGACACACTATGCACACGGCCATTGCTGACACACTATGCACACGGCCATTGCTGACACACTATGCACACGACCAATGCTGACATACTATGCACATGTCCATTGATGACACACTATGCATACAGCCATTGATGACACACTATGCACACAACCACTGATAACACACTATGCACACAGACATTGATGACACACTGTGCACACAACCACTGATGACACACTATGCACATGTCCATCGATGACACACTATGCACACAGACATTGATGACACACTATGCACACAGCCATTGATAACACACTATGCACACAGCCATTGATGATACACTATGCACACAGACATTGATGACACACTGTGCACACAGACATTGATGACACACTGTGTACACAGACATTGATGACACACTATGCACATGGCCACAAATGCAGGTGCTGTTGCTCACATTCTCTCATACCCAGCTTCAGGAACCCTTTTGCTCCCCGCCTACAGAAGTGCTACGGATAAGGCCTGTGGGCATTCATGAGAAAAAAAAATCTCAAACTCTATCCCATCTTTATTAGACACCCAAATCCTTACTTCCCTCAAGTGATAAGCTTTTCTCTGTTTGATGAGAAAAGCAATTAACACCAGGCTTGCAAGCAGCTGGTCTCACTAGTGTCAGCTTGTCCTTTCTGAAGGCAACAACAACTACCCACAATGCACTATAAGCCTCACCCCTCCCACCCCACCCCCACCTCACCTCACCTCACCTCACTCTGCACACTCTGACTGGTGCTAATTCAGTCAGTGGTTTCCTTCTGAGGCCCTTGGTCTAAATGCAATTACATGGCAAGTCAGTTAAACAGGCGAGGCTCAGCTAAGACCTGCAGTCCTGTTCGGACGGTCTCTCAAAGTATTTATGTGAAATTATCTTTCTGCTAATGTGAAGAATTTATTCCATCAATTGTGTTCAGCTGGTACTGAGAGAGGCTTTCTTTAATGGAGGACAATTGAATTTTGTATTGCTGGAACTTTGTCCTTCCAGTGAGTTACTACCAGATCTCAGCGCCTGATCCTGGCTACTCTCCAGCCTCCTGACATGCATAGCAACTTTGGATTCTGCCTGGACGGTAACCAGCCCTCTGAGGGTGGTTTCCTTCATGGGGCTTCCCTGGATGCACCCCAAACCCCCATCCCCAACCCATGTGCCTGTAGACCGGCATCCTCTGATTGATCTCTCTTTGGGGGAATTTCCTGGTCACTGGGAAACACTCAAACAGCAGCGTTTGGCTATCGCTTAGTCCCCGTCTGGCAAACCAGAGCGGATGTAACGCTAGTGCAGGCTCCTGTGGATTGCTTTGGATTCTGGAGAAGATTAAGTTGACACGCCTGGCCCCACCAGGCCACTGAGGCCTCATGGTAGAAGACAGGTGTTTGGCTCAGAAACCAGGTCCTAGAGTAAAACACTTCCATCCTCCTTCTGTTTAACCTCGGCTTTCGGTTGTCAAGAAAACCCTGTTTAACGCTAAGACCTCCCCCTGCCACAAAGGAGATGTGGAAAGTCACTTTGTGGAGGCCTCTGTATGTGCCTCACGCTATGTGCTTTTGTCTAAGGAGGTTTGAAAAGAGCTGGGTTTCCCAACGATTGCTCCCTTTATGCAGTTATTGGGTGGACACGACCAGTGGGGCACTGGTAAACGTTTAAGGACAGATGAGAGCGGGAGAGGACAGAGAAGAGGAGAGCGAGAGACACAGTTGTCAAGAGTGGTATTTACCCATTCCTGTGGTGTAAACCTTCCATCATGGCTGCATTCAAGCTACGACATGATGCCACTGAGGACAGAGTTGGGGAGAAATGCACAGCGGTATACTATTATGTGGTATTCCTAGCTCATGGTGCCATTAGTCTCAAATAAGCTCAAAAGCAATGATACTTATAAAATTCAATCAAATCCTAGGGAAGTGATAAGCCTTGAGTATTTATAACCCTTTGATATAATTCGATTTTATATAGTTTAGGCTTTTTAATTTAAACTGAAAATTTTGTTTTACGTGTATGAGTGTTTTGCCTGTATGTATGTCTGCACCACGTGCATGCCTGGGGCCCATGGAGGTCAGAAGGAAATATAGGATCCCTGTCTGTGCACCACGTGCATGCCTGGGGCCCATGGATATCAGAAGGAAATATAGGATCCCTTGAGACTAGAGTTATAAACTGTTGTGGGTACTCGGAATCAAACCTGGATCCTCTAGAAGAGCAGCCATATCTCCAACATGGTACAGTTTAATCTTTAATAATAGCAATTTAGCAACCAGCTTACCAAATTCCCAAACATTTAATAATTGGTTCTAGCTACTTGTTTGTTTTTGTTTTGCTTTGTTTTTATAGACAGGGTTTCTCTGTGTAGCCCTGGCTGTCCTGGAACTCACTCTGTAGACCAGGCTGGCCTCAAACTCAGAGATCCACCTGCTTCTTCCTCCCAAAGACATAGGCTATCACCACCAGGCTGATATTCAGTTCTCATGAGCCCAAATGAGTTGGTGTTTACATTCTCCTGGGACACTGACCTCACGCTGAAGGTAAGGCTTGGCGTTGTGGGTGGGGCTAAGATACAACTGCTGCTGCTTTGATTTTAAAACTCTATCTTGGCAAGAAACCACCGATCAGAGGTGAGGGTCATTGTCACTCTGGATTTCCCAGCTGGCTCATATCAAACCTATGTTAGTTAGTTTTCTTCCTTTTTTTTTTCTTTTAGTTGGATATGAACTGGAGTCATCTTGAAAGACAGAACTTCAACTGAAAAAAAATTGATTCTATCAGATTGGCCAATAGGCAAGTCTATGTGGGCATTTTCACGATGCAGGAGGGCCCAGATCACTGCAGGC